TAATGTAACTAGGTATATTAGATAATGTAACTAGGTATATTAGATAATGTAACTAGGTATATTAGATAATGCAACTAGGTATATTAGATAATGCAACTGGGTATATTAGATATTGTAACTAGGTATATTAGATAATGTAACTGAGTATATCAGATATTGTAACTAGGTATATTAGATAATGTAACTAGGTATATTAGATAATGTAACTAGGTATATTAGATAATGCAACTGGGTATATTAGATATTGCAACTAGGTATATTAGATAATGTAACTAGGTATATTAGATAATGCAACTAGGTATATTAGATAATGTAACTAGGTATATTAGATATTGTAACTAGGTATATTAGATAATGTAACTAGGTATATTAGATAATGCAACTAGGTATATTAGATAATGTAACTAGGTATATTAGATATTGTAACTAGGTATATTAGATAATGTAACTAGGTATATTAGATAATGCAACTGGGTATATTAGATATTGTAACTAGGTATATTAGATAATGTAACTAGGTATATTAGATAATGCAACTAGGTATATTAGATAATGTAACTAGGTATATTAGATAATGTAACTAGGTATATTAGATAATGTAACTAGGTATATTAGATAATGTAACTAGGTATATTAGATAATGCAACTAGGTATATTAGATAATGCAACTGGGTATATTAGATATTGTAACTAGGTATATTAGATAATGTAACTGGGTATATCAGATATTGTAACTAGGTATATTAGATAATGTAACTAGGTATATTAGATAATGCAACTAGGTATATTAGATAATGTAACTAGGTATATTAGATATTGTAACTAGGTATATTAGATAATGTAACTAGGTATATTAGATAATGCAACTGGGTATATTAGATATTGTAACTAGGTATAATAGATAATGTAACTAGGTATATTAGATAATGCAACTAGGTATATTAGATAATGTAACTAGGTATATTAGATATTGTAACTAGGTATATTAGATAATGCAACTGGGTATATTAGATAATGTAACTAGGTATATTAGATATTGTAACTAGGTATATTAGATAATGCAACTGGGTATATTAGATATTGTAACTAGGTATAATAGATAATGTAACTAGGTATATTAGATAATGCAACTAGGTATATTAGATAATGTAACTAGGTATATTAGATATTGTAACTAGGTATATTAGATAATGCAACTAGGTATATTAGATAATGTAACTAGGTATATTAGATATTGTAACTAGGTATATTAGATAATGCAACTAGGTATATTAGATAATGTAACTAGGTATATCAGTTATTGTAACTAGGTATATTAGATAATGTAACTAGGTATATTAGATAATGTAACTAGGTATATTAGATAATGTAACTAGGTATATTAGATAATGTAACTAGGTATATTAGATAATGCAACTAGGTATATTAGATAATGCAACTGGGTATATTAGATATTGTAACTAGGTATATTAGATAATGTAACTGAGTATATCAGATATTATAACTAGGTATATTAGATAATGTAACTAGGTATATTAGATAATGTAACTAGGTATATTAGATAATGCAACTGGGTATATTAGATATTGCAACTAGGTATATTAGATAATGTAACTAGGTATATTAGATAATGCAACTAGGTATATTAGATAATGTAACTAGGTATATTAGATATTGTAACTAGGTATATTAGATAATGTAACTAGGTATATTAGATAATGCAACTAGGTATATTAGATAATGTAACTAGGTATATTAGATATTGTAACTAGGTATATTAGATAATGCAACTAGGTATATTAGATAATGTAACTAGGTATATTAGATATTGTAACTAGGTATATTAGATAATGTAACTAGGTATATTAGATAATGCAACTGGGTATATTAGATATTGTAACTAGGTATATTAGATAATGTAACTAGGTATATTAGATAATGCAACTAGGTATATTAGATAATGCAACTGGGTATATTAGATATTGTAACTAGGTATATTAGATAATGTAACTAGGTATATTAGATAATGCAACTAGGTATATTAGATAATGTAACTAGGTATATTAGATAATGCAACTAGGTATATTAGATATTATAACTAGGTATATTAGATATTGTAACTAGGTATATTAGATAATGCAACTAGGTATATTAGATAATGTAACTAGGTATATTAGATATTGTAACTAGGTATATTAGTTATTGTAACTAGGTATATCAGTTATTGTAACTAGGTATATTAGTTATTGTAACTAGGTATATCAGTTATTGTAACTAGGTATATCAGTTATTGTAACTAGGTATATTAGTTATTGTAACTAGGTATATCAGTTATTGTAACTAGGTATATTAGATTAATCTCAATCTTAGATTGAGATTTTAAAATTCTATATAAATTTTATTTAAATTTACAGATTATATAAATTTTATTTATATTTATAGATTATATTTTCAGTAAAGACTAAAAGATTTTTTTAAAACTTTTACAAAACGCTTTTCCATTTCCTGATCAATTTTATTTGTAAATAAGACTAAACCATTATCTTGATATATAAAAATCTTTTGAATCCTAAATATATTTCAATATATACCAAAATTGTATCAAATCGAAATTCATATTTAAGTTCTTATATATTTAAAAAAAAAATTATATTTAGAGGAAGCTGTAGTAAAGATAATCTTTAAGTTTGTACTTTCAGAGTGAAACCTTTCCAAAAAAAATTTATCAAAGGTAATTTTTTTTTTATCACTAGCTGAATAAACTGAGATTAAATCTTTACTAAGTTTTGATCTCAGTTATTTTCTCAGTTCAAACCTAACTGCATATATCAAAAGCAGATTTCATTAGTTGATTTTTCGCTTTGTTTTGCTTGCATTGAAGTTTGCATTCCTACAAACTCAGTTTAACTCTATTAAGATAAGCTACAGAGATGGGTGTATTTAATTTAGCAGATGTTTTAAGAGTTGATTTTTTAGAGCATATATTAGAATGTACTTTAACATTCAGTTCATGATAAAACCTGAAAAGTTTATTTTTTTCCAAAGACCAATTTGAAAAGAGTTGCTGCAATATAATTTGATACAGTTTATAGTTATAAAGACTTTTTATAAACAAAATAACCAAAAGTTTTAGGAACAGTTTTTTTAGCTTTTTTTTTTTTAGCTTCTGAAAAAATTAAACTTACTACTAGAATCAGGAACTTTTATTCCATTGCAAAAAACAACATTTAGAAATTTCAAAAGTAACATTTAGAAAGTCAAAAAGGTAGTGGTGTAGTGGTAGAGCGCTCGCTTCATAAACGAGTGGTTCCGAGTTCAATCCCCACCACGTCCCTGGTAGTACCGCGCTCAACTCGTTTCTCCGCGCAGCGGCCTTGTTCGTCAAGGTTCGTGTTTCAGAGTTATAGAGTTGAGAGAGGGTTATAGCCACAAATAAGTAGCCTCCTCGTCTGTAGTGGCCTTCTCGGCCTTGAGAAGGTGAATTAAAATTAAAAAAAAAAAAAAAAGTCAGATAACATCGATTCATACATGTGAATCACATGTATGAATGGATGTTTCAGATAACATTGATTCATACATGTGAATCATGTGTTTCAAATAATACTATCCATGAACAAAAATTATAAAATATAAGGAACTTTCTACAAAAAGTTTCAATGAAAGACTTCATCTAATAACTTAAATAAAGTATAACATAAAAAAACTTATTTAATGAAGACAAATCAAAAAGATGCTTTTTAAAGTCAGTAAAGTTTTATAATAACAAGACTAAGTAAAAAAAAAGAATTCTCAAGAAGTAATTGAGAACCTTCGAATTAAGATGTTAGAAATGAGGATCAAAAAAAAGCTCTTGAAACTCTTTTTTGGTAAATTTATTAATAGTTCTCCTTTTTTCAACTTTTTATTAATTTCCTAACACCAAACTTCCTCAGAGAAAAAGTGAAACTTGCATATCCATAGTTTTTTATGTTTAAAATCGTTTTATTTCCTTTAAAGATTAACAACTCGATCATTTGTGATTATGTCAATTACAAAAATCACATAAAATAAGTTTAAACAATCATTGTTTGCTTCCAGACTATTTATTCCTTATGACTATGGTAAAACTATTGCTAGCAATGATAATAAACTTTATTGAACATTTATTGAATCATCAGTGGATTGTCAATAATGAGAATAAACTTGATTGAACATTCACTATACCAGTGGTCTAACTTTAAATTTTACAGAAGTTGTGTCTTTATAGAAGTTATATTTTTTGAATACTTTACCAACATTAACAATCATAAGTAATAAAAACAAGAATAAAAAAATTTCAGTTCAATTTATATATGCACTAAACACTTTGTTATGATAAAACTTTTGATATGGACTAAATACTTTCTTATGATTAAATTTTTAATATACTAAAAAAATAATTTTGTGATAAAACTTTTGGTATGCGCTAAACACTTTGTTATGATAAAACTATTGATTAAAACTTTATACAAAGTTGTAGAAAAAAAAAGCTGTGCAAACAAGCAGGATTGAAAAAAAACCAAAGTTATTAAGAATAGAACAACTTTTATATTAAATTTTAATTCATTTTAATTCTGAATTTCTTTTATTTTAATTTAGTATTTATGTTATTCTGTATTCATTTTAGTTTACTTTAGTATCAATTACTTGCTTCATTTTTTTTTCTTTTCAAAATTTAAAAACTAATAAATTATTCTCCAGCATTAGCAATTTGAAATCAAAAAACCAATTATTCTACCTTTATTAAGCAAATAAAATTAACTACCTTTAAAAAGAAAAGTTGTATTTGATTGTAAAAAATTTTATTGTTTTACCAAAAATTATAAAAAAGAAAATATCATGTATATAATTTGCTTTTTGTAAATAACAAAACATAGTAGATACTTAAATACTTAAACCTAAAACCATTTTAGACTTTTATAATTTCACAGAAATCACAACTCTCACTACTAAAAACAATTAATACTCAAAATATCACTTACTTCAAATGGATTAGGAGTAAGGGTTTGAAGAGATATGTGACCCAAATACCCAATTACTAACCATACACTGTACTTGCCAGTCTAAAGTACAAATAATTAAATTATATATATATATATATATATATATATATATATATATAAAATATATATATATATATATATATATATATATATATATATATATATATATATATGTATGTATGTATGTATATGTATATATATATATATATATATATATATATATATATATATATATATATATATATATATATATATATATATATATATATATATATATATATATATGTTAAAAATATAAAAACATCAATTATTACGAGTTCTCTCAATAGTATTGTAAATTTTCGCTGAACTATAGTTACCAGCATCATTAGCTATAATATCGTAATTAAAAAATTTTAATTACAATATTATAGCTGATGATGCTGGTAACTATAGTCAATTTTTTTGTCAAAAATTGCTGATTTTTCTGACGTTGAGGTAGGGTCTAATATAAACCAATTTGGCTGAATTAAAAAAAAGGACATAAATTTTCCTTTTAAAATATATGTAGTAAATTAGGAATGCAACTTCCAACAGGTATGAATATCTTGCAATACTTTAAACATTGTCAATCAAATTTGCCAAATGGAATTACAAAAATGTTGGATATTCTATATTGTCCTCCAAAATCAAACTTATAGGTTGATAGGTGTCACATAGTTGAATGTGAATGTATCATGGCAAAAATTAAAAATCAATTGATTATATAAGGGTTTCCAGTTATTAGTGGCGTAAATATTCGAAAAAGAATCTTGAGCAAGAATATTTTAATCTATTAAAGAATGTCAGAAGAAATTCAAAACAAGATATTAAAAATCAGATAGGATTTGAAAATTTTGTTAAACGTATTTTTGGGATAGGAATTTCAAAACTAAAAGATTTTATTCAAAGTAACAAGCTAAGATCCAATAAATGTAAAATTGAAGATTTACAATTCATAGAGGATCAAGAAGGTCCAAGATTATTTCATTTGGGTCCTCTAGACAGTAAATATACTAAGAAAGTAAATTGATTATGTTTTGGTTGTAAAAATTTGCATAGTGTAAGTTGTATTTTTTTTTAATGTTTGAGCAGTTTTGCGTCAGATCTTAATTAAATGATGCTCTTAAGGTAGATGAACTATTGAGTTACTTTACTATATGGAGTGAAGCATTAGTATAAAAAAATATTAATTCAACTAACTTTATTTTGTTTTTTGGACTATGTTGATTCTCATCCAAACGTTTAGTTTTTAAATAATATACTCTTTATAGTTTAATAAATTTATTAAATATGTTATAACTTTGTGTTTTCATAACTCCAACAACTTATAACTAATAAATTTATATTTATACAGTATTCGATAAAACATTTGCAACCAACATCGAACAATGCTGAAAAGTGTTCCTAATTTAAAAAGTCTTAAAAATAAAACGAACTATACTACCACAGCAAACACTTCAAGAGTCTGAAGTCATAGCATGCCATGACAGTAGCAATCAGCTGACAGGTGACAGCACACAAACAGAATTTCGTTGACAAGTGCCATTTTGCAGGGGACAAAACAAGTGCAAATTTTTTGGTTTGTTTCATTTCTTTGACGTTGACATTGACCAAGTCTGGTCCATGTCAAGGTCACAGAAGTTTTTTAATAATTAAAGGAAGTATCCAGAAGTTTCCAGAAGCATGCAGAAGCTTCCAGAAGTTTCCAGAAGAAGCATCTGGAAGCATCCAGAAGCATCCAGAAGTATCCAGAAACATTCAGAAGCATCTAGACGCATCCAGAAGCTTCCAGAAGCATCGAAAAGAAGCATCTACAATCTTCCAGAAGAGGTTCACACAAGTTCAATTTACTATATAAGAGACATGTAAAACCGACATGTAATTCAGTCAGTATATGGAAGTCAATCAGTCAGTATTATCAAGACAGTTAATCAAAGTGAGTTTTATCAAAGTGTTTTATCGAAGAACATCAATACAAGAAGTGGAATACAACAAGTGTTTCATTACATCAATACCGCCCACATCCAAGCAAGATGTTGTGTTCCACAGAGCATTTTTGTATCATCACAAGGTAAATTTAACACGGTAAGCCTTGAGAAGCGTGATTTTTATAATTTTTATGACTTCAAGTGCAAAAATAACTCCAGACAATCTTGGATTGGAACTAAGAAAGAAAATTATTGGCGATTATGTAAGTGGAATGTCACAAAAAAGTATTTGTGATAAATATCGCGTGAAAAAATGGAACGTATCAAGACTATGTAGCAAATATTGTTCTACGGGGAAGTTGGCAGCAGATAACAAAGGTGGAAGACCGCGTCCCACCACATCTAGAGAGGATTCTATGATCGTCAGATCTGTCAAGAAAGATAACTGGATATCATCAGTTGAGATACAAAAACAATTAGAGCTGCCTGTATCGAACCGAACAATCAGACGACGTGCTGTTGAAGCCAGATTGTTTTCTCGACGCCCTGCAAAGAAACCGCTGATTTCACTAAAAAAACAGAAGAAAAAACTCCTGTTTGCTACATCTCATATTGACTGGAATGTGCAGAAATGGCGAACTGTCCTGTTCAGCGATGAATTGAAGTTCAAAATCATTGGGAGCGGTGGCATGTGCCTTGTACGTTGACCGGCCGGAAAACGCCTTGATTTACGTTACTGCCATAAGACCATGAAGCATGGTGGAGGTAATGTAATGGTCTGGGGGTGTTTTTTTGCTAACAGTCTAGGTCTAATATGTTACACAGTTGCCTGCAACCACTTTTTAGTTTTGCGATTTGACCCCGGCCATTGTCATACATTGTTGGATTCGTTACAATGAGTAGATTTAGGTTTGATATGTCACCAAAATCATAAAATTCCTTTTAGTAAAATATTTATGTTTTGAGGGCCAATAGGACCCAATTTATAATTTTTTTCCAAAATTCATGGATTTTTAAATTATTATTATTTGAATAAATTTATATAACAAATTTATTAATTTTTCAAAAGTTATAGCCATTTAAGGTGTGAAAATGAGTCATAAATAAAATATATCGTTTGGATATGACTGTCATAAATATGTCATTTATAAAATACAAATATATTAAATATATATACAAACCATGCACATAAACTAATGTTTTATATTATTAAGATTCTATTTATTAATAAACTTAACATATTTTTGTGTAACATATTATCATAAAAAAGTTATATTTAAGTAAAGTTAAAACATAAATTTATTTTTAGGTTAAAACTGATAACAGCTTTTTTTAAATGTTCAGAAAAGGAGCTGTTAATTTTGGAAAGTTTTAGTCTATTCCAAGATTCATTAACAAAGCTGTAATGAATTGCTTCAACAGCTTGTTCAGAGTAGCAGCCTAATCCATGCCCTCTTACTGCACAAAAAGCACCTATATGTTTGATAATAAAATGAATTTTCAGTGAAACAGTTATTCCATAGTCTTCAACAAGTGTTCTGTAGTGATCTTCAAAGTTTTTAATATGTATTCGAAAATCATTATGAAGTTTTTGTCCAAAACAAGATTCGACTAAATTGTTTAAAATTCTAAGCCCCTCTGCCAATGGCTTTAAATTAATTGGCAATGCACGCATGTACTTATCATAATTTTTAAGGATTTTATGGGAAGCGTTGCCATTAAAGGCATTATTCTGGACCTCTTTTGAAATGTTTAAAATCATTGATACTTTAGCCCTTCGTTTTCACCACCACATTTCTCTATATGATTATAAATATGATTAACAGCTCCCTCCATTAGGTGTAATTCTGGCGGGAAAATATAATCTGCCACTAAGTGGTCGCTGGTTTCTGCGTGTATCAATGGAGGATAAATAAAGTTGCAAAATTCTTTAGCATTTTGTTTTATTGCACCTGATTGAGAAAATTTTGTGTACTGTTCCTCTAAAGAACCAAAAGTTCTAAGCTTCTCTTCTTTAAATGGTTCCATTCGTTTCCAATCGCATATATGGCACGGTGTTGTAGCACTTGGAAATAAACCACGCATTATTTGACAAAGCTTAAGATCAGCTACAAATGAGTGTTTTATTTTATCTAAATTAATACAGCTCATTAATATAGAAACATTGTAGTGACTTTCAGGAACATTCGGAACTAAAGCTAGTAACAAAAAAGCTTTTACAGAACCTTCTTTATATTTTGAATTATGAGGTTCTTCATATGTACTCATTATAGTTTTGTCTTCATGATTGTTTTTGTCAAGTTCTAAACCTTCGCTCTCACAATCTGACAGTAGGTTTAAACAAATCTAAAATAAGAAATTTTTTTTTTTACAAAATGTTGTACCATTTTTTTTTAGTTTTGACTGAATCATAATTCTCATAAACATATTTAAAATGAAATTATTTACCTTTAGAAAGCCTCTTCCTCCATCAATACCGAGCTTGACTGTTTGATTGCTTAAGTTCACTTCTTTCATCGCAATTAGCAACTTTACAAACTCCTCAATATTGATGCACTTAATAATAGGGATATTTTCCCTTACTTTTAAGTTTCCTTTTTTAACATCAAATTCTTGATAATCAATTATAAATAAATCTTCAAGTGCACCATCAATTGCCGAAAGTGCTGTTTGTACGTTTGCTTGTATGCAAGTTTTCCTTTTAATTGATGTTCTAATAAAAAAAACATATACATTTAGGCTAACTAAATTCCTTAAAAAGAGTAAGATATACTTCAAACCGTTCTTACATGAGTTCTTTTGCTAGTTGTATTAGTTTCTTGTTGGACAAAGAAAGTCTTGATTGAATGCTTAATAAATCAATCAAGGGGATATGTTTAGGTTTATTTTCCTACTGATATTTGTAAAGGTTTTGCACCTGTAGCAAGTTTAATTCTTTTTAATCCTTGTTCATATGATTTTTCTGAGATAACTTGAGAAGCAAGGTGATCCTTAACTTTAGCTGAGGCTTGAAGTTTTTCTAATACTTTTACAACTAACATTTTATTTCCACATTTGTGCTTCTTTCCCTTCCCAATAATTGAAAGACAAGATTTACATATTTTTTCATGG